TTTTTATATATATATGTATATGTTTATTCAATTAGATGAAGATAAGGCTTTTAAAAATATGACAGGTAACAAACAAGGTGTTGGTAACATCATGATATGGGCTTAAAGGTAATGTTCCATTGCAAAAAGAGAAGGACGGTCGGATGACTTGTCACTTGAGCTAACCAGCCACTATCTATATAAACCTCCAATGACTGTTTGATGAATTCATTATTTAACCAAGAAATCACAGATGAAGAAGAGGTCAGGTTTATTTTTATATATTTCCTTCCAGTCAGAGGTTTGCCTGCCCAATTATCCGCTGTATGAATACCACAGTAAAGCTCAGTGTTCAATATTGATTTAAATCAGGTTTCACATTAAAGTTGATTTAAGTCATGATTTAAGTCTTTAGCAGTTTGAGGTTTTCAATTGGATTTCGTTCTTTTTTTTAAGCTCTTTTTCCATTTCGGCTGTTTTCCATGTACTTGAGGTGTTTTAATGACTTCTACTCAATCAGTAGATATCTTTCCATTTACAGCTGCTTCCTGTTGTTACCGATCACCTCCAGTATGCTTGGTTTCTATATTCTGTGCTTGTATACGCTGTTATACTTTGCTGGAGTTTACTACTCTGTTGTTGTTTTTCCACAGGTTTTTTTTTTGTTTTCTGTGATTATCTTGGATTAACCTCTTCTGGTGTTTGTTGTTAAGGAGTCTTACTTTGTTGTTATTATTGTTTGGGATATAGCTTCTTTACCAAGAATCTTGTAATATTGAATTTAATAACATTTCTCATAAAAAATACATTTTGTGGCTTTCAGATTCTTAGTTATGATGAAAAAAGCTATAGGTGGCCTGACTGGAATTATCAGCTAATTAGCCTGATGAGCATAAATGCTAAAAGAGACAGTGTGTTTAAAATCTATCTTGGTTTACCCATGGTCTTATGTTTCTTATTTATCCTGTATCCTATAATTGTAAAGGTATGTAAAATATTAAAGGCCTTTTTTGGGATGATAAAGACAATTAAAAATGCTTCATATGAATTAAACAGTAAAATAGAAAGACATTAAAAGCAGAACATGATAAAAGCAGGTCGCAAAGCAAACAAAACTGTTATATTTTTGAACATGATATATAATAAAAATGTGCAAAAAAGTTCTTATATACAGTTTCCTGCAAAGGTATTTGTTTTTTCCAGATCGGCATGAACTTTTTGGCAACTTTGTTTTCTTTTGTTTCATGGAGAAAAGGGGAAAAAAAATGTCAGGAGTGAACATGCTGTCATTTGACCTGATTTTACGGTGCTATGAAAAATTATTATCTCATCCTCTTCAGCTTGTTTACTATCTGTGGACAGAGTTCGAGATCACAGGAAAAATCCACCCAAACCTCCCACAGGAGGCCCCAGGGCCCAATAATATGTCTTCTCTGGTACCTCCACCGCTGCTGAAGAGAGTTGATGGGTCCCTCTGAATATAGCCAGGGGGATTTTTTTCACTAGCTTGGTCTGTGTGACTCAAACTTACCTCTGGAATTCTATTTTTTTCTTTCCTCTGATAAAGTTGAAGAAGGATTTCTACTCTTTATGTTCAAGCTTGGGTGGTACTGACCTCTTTAGAGCCCAAGGGTCACTTAAAACATGTTGACATGGAGATCAAACCTTTAATTGTCAAGTGTGGTGTTGTCAGCAATGGAAAGGGCGGATCTATCAAAACAGAAGATGAAGATTTTCCTGTTATGCTTTTTAACTTCATGGATATGCATTTAATTGGTGACAATCACATTTTAAAAGGGGTGGACACTAAAGGGCTCAGGGCTTGTATCGTGACATAATCTTTGGAAGAAAAAGTACTTCTGCTGATTAAACTTAATCTAAAAAAAATAATAATTTTGCCATTCTTTTGGTGTTTGTCTTTAACCAATATCTATATAATATTTATTCAGATTGTATCCATAGTTTAAAATACATATAATCAGTTTCATGTTATCATTTACTTTTCTTAATTATTATGTCATTATTTTTTCTCAATATAGACTTTTTCTCTGGGTGATAAGAAACTTGCTGCCCTTTTTTGATCCAGCCTCATGCCCATCCATCTGGCCCATCAAGACTCACTCTCATTTCATCAGACCAAAAGACCTTGGAGAAATCAGTGTTCAGATATTTCTCTTCCCAATCTTGATGTTTTTGTCTTTTGTGTCTTGTTCAAAGGTGGCCTTGTTTGGCTTTTCCTTACCTCGGCCAGGTCCCTGAGTAATTTCAGTCTGATATATATATATATATATATATATATATATATATATATATATATATATAATTAGCTTTCTCGCATTTTAAACAAGATTTATTTGTCAATAAAGGTAATTTAATTTATGTAGGTGTTTAATTTTGTATTCGAGTAGAATATTGTCTGACATTTGTAATTATGTAGCTCATTAAATATTTATTTTATATTGTACCTTTAACAATGACAGCCTGGAGCTTTAAAACAGACTCAAATAATCAAA